TTGGTTCCACATCTAGCCATTCTGATTCAGAAGAACTAGAATGGGGCCTATGAATTTATATATTTAATGAACACTTATGATCTGGGAAGTCTGGAAAACACTGCCCCATATGATTTCATTTACTGTCCTTCACCCCAACTCTGACATGTTTGATATCCTTAAATATAGTTTTAGAGTAAAAAAAAAAAGCACTAGAGTGAGACTATCTGAGGTTATCTTGTGTAAATAATAGAAACCACTGTGATATCATAGGATTTGGGACTATAATGTGCCATCATCACCCCATTAAATTGTTCCTCCTCCTCCCCAGGCCAGGGCCAGCTTACTTAATGGCCAGACCAGCAGGTTCCCAGCAGGCTTGATGGTCTTTCCTTCCATGTGTCTAAAATTGATCACAGATTCCCTAGAGCATCTCTCACTTTGGACATCCCAGTTTCGATCTTTCTTTTGGGTTCTCAGTCTAGAACCTTAGCATCTTTTTAGACTCCATCTCCCCTGCCTGCACCCAGGTCATAACCAGGTTCTATGGGCTTGAAAGCGAGGAGGACCCTCTGGGGCCTTCCTGGGTACAAGCCCCTCCATTGTCCCCCTGCTTCTTGTTTGACCTTCCCTGAGTTCCCAAGAGCAGATGCAAGCAGTTAATTATTACAACAATAGAGTCACAGGACTCCTAATTCCTCCTGAAGGGATAGAGATAACAGTCTGACACATCTTTGATGTGTTCTGCAAAAACTAACCTTCCCCTAACTAACCTGGTGGAAGATGCTGACCCCAAGCACGTAGACTCCAGACTGGTTGGAACCAGAAGGTTGATGATAGAGATTCCTGAAACATCACCCTGTTACCTCACCACCAACCAACCAGAAAAATATTAATGAGCAGATCACGCATCCTGCAACCCTCACCCTTAATATTGCCTTTAACGACTATTCCCTGAAAGCCTTCAGGGAGTTCAGGTCTTTTGAGCACTAGCTGCCCATTCTCCTTGCCTGGTGCCCTGCAACAAACACTGTACATTCCTTCACCACAACCAGTGTCAGCAGATTGGCTTTGCTGCAGGTCGGGCAGGTGAACCTGAGTTTGTTTCAGTAACAGGTTCTACCTCGGGCTGGTTTCCTAGCCTCCATCCTTCTACTACAGTTCATTCCTGACTGCCCTTCCAGCCTCCTGCTCCAGTGCACTAATCCAGGCCCTGAATTCCTCAGAACTCTTTCCTTGCATGCATAAGCCCTTGTTTAAATGCAAACAAACCAACCACAAAGTACTTCCCCAGCTTCCTGTTACCTACAGGATAAAATCTCACCCCTCCCCTGACCTCCAAGCTCTCCTCAGTCCGGCCAAACTTCTCCAATCTTGCTTTTAGCGAACACCCACCCCCAGGCCTGGGCTGACTTCTTGCTCTGCCACAGAGAGGTTCAACTCAGGAATTCTGCCCCTACCTGGAATGGCCTCTATAGCCATTCCCCTACCCCTGCCAGGAGACTCTCGTGCCCAGCCCAGCCCAGCCCTCAGAGAAGGCTCCTCCTCTGGACCCCAACAGCGCTAAGCCAGGGCACTCACACAGCACTCTCCCATAATGCAGTGCTTCTCAAGTATCACCTAGGAACTTGTTTGAAATGCTCACTCTTGGGCCCCACCCCACACCTACGGAATCAGAATTTCGGTTGGGGGGTAGGGCTCAGCAACCTGTGTTTAACCAGGTTTGCAGGTGATCCTGATTTGGGCTTAAGTATGAGAGCCAGTGGATAGCAGTTAAAACTCTAGGCTGCTGAGTTTCCACTCCTTCTTCTCACAAGGTGCCAGAAACTCACCCAGGAATCACTTAGGGTCATTCCTGGAGGAAGGTTAATCATCTCTGAATTATTGCCTGTGGCCCTCCTTGGGAGAATGAGCAAGCGTGATGCTGAAGCACAGGAAATGGCCACTATCCAAGATCTTTTTTTACCTACAAAAACAGTCATTTCCTCTGGTGCAACCTAATGGTTTCATTACCTGGGGAAGGTTATATGATAAGACCCATTATGTTTCAAGAGTTTAAAGGGAAAGAGCTGTTGATACCCAAGGAGGGAAAGGCTCCAGGAGACTGTGGACAGTGGAGCTGGAACCAGTCCTCACGCAAGTTTCCAGGGCAGCTGTACCCGAGGGTGGACATTGCTGAGCAGTAAGAGGCACGTCCTAGGGTGAAGCTTGTCCAAGGAGGGCGGGATCATCCTCCCTCCGGAGCCCAGGAGCTTGCACAGGGCGGAGCACCTAGGAGGCGCCACCCAGCCTCTGTGGGTTTGGCCAATGCAGGGCTAAGTTGCAACAGCGACACCGTGTGGCAACTGGGAAGCAAGGCAGTTGAACTGAGGGGACTCTTCATTGGATGATGAACTTAGCCCTTTGGGGATGTATAAACCCTGTTCTTGTGTATTCAAAGCGAGGAAGAGCCTTCAGTGGGGAGAATGGACTTTCTACCACTAGGGTATAGAGGGCATAGTCTGCAAGTCTTGGTTTCCTCATCTGGAGAGTAGAGATTACACGGGTGCAGAGGGAAAATCCTTGGCACGTCTGCCTTTTCTCCCTATGTTCTTCCCTTGCCTCCACTTGCAGCAGAAACCTTTCTGCGCTTTCTCTCTGGATTTTCTCTAAGTTGGAAACAGAAACACTTTGCGGTCAATGGTTCTTTCCATCTTTTGTAAAAATCTATAGTATGTGCTTTGAAGAGAAAATGCTGGCTATCTGGTAAGCCAAAAGGAGAAGGCAAATGCATTTCAGGACGTGGAGGAGAGGGCAGGGAAAGGTCACAGGAAGCAGAGAATGTCCGGACTCCCTCCCTGCCTCCTGACAGTGTCCTCAGGCTCACAGGGGAAGCGAGCAGGGTGCAGAAGGTGATGACCACAGTCTCCCAGCCTCACCAAAGATCCCCACGTGCCAAGTGTGTAGTGAAAGCAGCCCAGTCATAGGACTCCAGGGACAGTGTGGCCTGGACCAGTGGACCTCTCAGTGGTGATGGGGTTGGGAGCAGACAGATGATGGCCTCAATACACCAGGTCAGGAGAGGGGTTCCCGAGGATGGCTGGCATGAGCACCCCCACCAGCCTGGCAGAGTAAGGACTCAGAATCGGAAATGAATTGACTTAAAGAAAATTAAATTTTACCCTCTATGCATAGAGCATTTGGCAGTGACTGGAGCCCATCTGCGAAATGAATGTCAAATACTATTGCTGTCATTATTGTGGATGCCAGGGGTGGCTTGCCCTACTGAGAGAGCACACAGGGGAGCCCTGCTCACTCTCTTTTCCTGTAAATATCCTGACTCCCCGATCACCTCTTGCTAGTTTCTGAGTTAGTCCATGGCCCTGCACAATAGATGTGGTTATGTTTATAGGGAAGAATCATGTTTTTAATTGTGAACAGGGAGTTGCCTCTTTGGGCCTGCTCTCAGAACACATCTCTCATGCTCAATTTGCATGCCGATGAGAGACAATTCTTCTTCAAGGGAAAAATAATTGAGTAAAGCTGAGGAACAAGACCTTTGACCTGCGTGACTCTTCAGCCCAGCTGTGATAGAGGCCCCAAATAATTTGCGAACCTCCCAAGGGATCCTAGAACCTCATGAAGATGGGGACAGAAGAGCTGGAGCTTGGGTCTCAGCCAGCAGTGACCTCCCTTGTGAAAAGACGAATCCATCCATTAGTTTTATGATCACCCGGAGTCAATTTAGACCATCATCTGGTCTAGTTAGAGCCAAATATTAAACCCTTTTTCCTGTTACTCTGACAAAAAAAAAGTTCATAAAGGTGAAACAGCCAAGGAGGGTCTGAAAGGCAAAGGAAGCCCCCTTTTGCAAAGAAGAGATCAAAGGTGTCATTCAAGGCATAGTCTGTGACTCAGCTAAAAAGAATACTCTGCCCCATCTGATCGTCATTTCCCTAAAGAAATCCAATGTTCACGCCAAGAGGTTCAAAGTACCGCCTCTGGAAACCACGAAACTGGAACCACACAGAAAGTAACACCAGCAGGTATGGAAATCCCAGCCACCAGGGGCCGCTCTTACTTACCCATGACCCTCCTAAGTTTAAAGCCAGGGCAAAAAATGACGCTTAAACTCTTAAGGTGAAAAGTGACTGCAAAGCATTTGTGACCTAAAGTCAATGATTAGGGGTAGGTGTGTGTGTGTGGGGTTCTGCATTTTTCGCCCTGAAAGTTCTTGTTCATTCGTTCCTCTAAGGCCTGCAACTGTAGCCTCCCAAATGCTGGGCTTCCGTTTGTTCAGACGGGCTCTTTTAGCCAGATCATGTGCTGAACCCACAGGCAATGATTAATTGCCTTTAGAGCTCTGATCCGTGTCTGATCAGAGGACAGAATGCTCACATCTAATCTCCCCCTGCTTGTGAAAGACTCCCGAACTGTGGGTGCTGAACCCTACGTGGGAATAGTCTATTGGACTCCTTCCCAGTAGCCCTGGAGGGACATCAGGACCTGACTGTGGTCACAATGAGGAGCCACTGACCGATGGGCCCCACCTGCACTGGCCACTGTTCCACTGCAGCTGTGTGGTCTTGTTGATTTCTGGAATTCATCCACAGCCTCCCCGGGACTGAGTGATTGTTCTTTGAATCCTCTGTCTCATCTTTTGGTGCCCACATTGCCTACCATGCAAGAATACAGACTCCCAACTTAGCCACAGATTAGACACCCCTGCTAAGCCCCTTGGCAGCCATGATCTTTTTTATTTTAAGTTCTGACAATGAGGATAAACGGCCTGGAGTGTTACGGAATGGAACCTATCATGACTAATTTCATCTCTGGGCAGTCAAATATTGATTTTCCCTTCGTGCAGGTCTAGGCAATCACAAAGGGGTCTAGGAACTACTGCTTCGAACTTCTTACCGCCAAGGACCACATCCTGGGTTTTAGAGTAAATTTTCCAAAGCAGATGGAGCAAAACAAACACTAAGCAGGCAGTGAGCTGGCCACGCCTCCAGCTGTGTCAGTCCTCCAGACCTGACTCTTACCTGGGCAAGTCTCCAAGGTCAGTGCCTCTGGGCTTCTCCTCTGGCCCTCTTTCTACGCTCCGACTGTTGCCAGGTGATGGCTCGGATCCTGGCCTCCGAGCCGATGATGTCCTCTGAGCCAGAAGAAAGAGAAATTGGAAAGGAAATCAAATAGGGGTCTTTGAAAGCACAGAGACTTTATCAACAGGCCACTGACCACAACATCCAAGGGTCAGGCTATCCATTTGCTTTACAGCCCATCTGAGCACCAACTCTGTATGAGGTGCTGAGCGAGGCTTTGCGGGTTTATGGTGAGCAAAGCCAACGTGGCCCTTGATCCTACTTGGTGGAGGAGAAACACAGCAAACCAGTGATTCCAGCTTAGAAGGGGGACTGTTTCAGAAAGAAACTGAGACTGGGGACATCCGTCATACTTTGGGGGTCATCAGCTCCCTGCAGAAAGTAGGATATTGAATTATCTAGGCACACCAAGATGAAAACACATTTCCTCCCCCTGCCCCATGGTTTTGCACACCAGAATTCAGCTGGAAGCCTGAAAAGAAAATTGAAGGAAGAAAATCATAGGCCCCTGGAAATGGGGCCACCCACTGGGGTCTCAGCCACTCTGACAGCTGGTCGTCTTTTAACTCCCACAGTCAGCTTGTCTGCTGTTCAGTTGGTTTTTTAAACCAAGGCATAAAAAACTAAAGCACAGTCACAACCTTTAGTCATAGGGCAGAAAAAGATGAGATGTTTTTAAGAATCCAATTTAAATGATGCTCATGTAAATATGGTACAAACATCAGAAATGGGGAAAGAGCTTTTAGGAACCCCTAGCAGTGTTTCCCAAAGCAGCGGCTGTCTTTTGTCTTCCTAGTAGTGTCCCTGAAACAGCACACACAGCTCTCTTCGGGGCCAGATCCGCCTTACTCTAAAGAACTGTTCTTCCCAGACCCTCTGCCCCAAGGTTCTCATGGAAATGCCAATCATAGTGCCCCACACCCCAGCCTATCGGGCTGTGTACAAGACTCAGGTTAAGACAGGTCCTTCCTCAGGACTCGGCAAAGAACCAGAGGGATGGAAATCTGGCAGCTGGTTCTGTAGATTATGGATGCAGGAGTTACTGGCAGTCTGTTTCTAATCACTCCAGAGGGAGGCAGCCTCGGCAGGAGAGAGCGGAGCCCTCAAGTAGAGAAAAGCCACGATGAGATGTTTCTCGATCTGGCGTATTTTTCTGAGTGGGTGGCTGCTTGTGTTCACCTGATCATGCTCAGAGGTAAAATATAAAAGATGCTTCAGCTCTCAGGGGCCTGTACATTCTGGTGCTCACGGGAACACTACAATTAGAAAATCTCCATTCACTTTTGTTGAGACAGAATTGGGGGAAGATAACAGCACAACAGTAAGAACCTCTGTTTACTGAGCACTTACTAAGTGCCAGGCACTGGGCCAGTAGCTTTTCATGAACCGTGTCATTGAACCTTCATCACAACCTTATGAGAAAGATGCTGTTCATCTGTTTTAGAGCAGAGGCTTTGAGAGGTTAAGTATTTGGCTAAGATCACACAGCACTGGATTATGGATGAACCTGATTCTCTCTGACCCCAGACCCAGGAAAAGGCATCTCTGTTCGATGCCTTCAATGGGGACGTGTTGAAGGAGGCAGAGAGCTGGGGCTGATTCTTCACCTAAGAAGAGGCTTGTGGACCCCAGGCTGGCTTGACCTCCATTTCGGCTGAACCACTCCCCCCAGCAGGAGCCCCTGCCCTGTCCTGTGCACCTCAGTTTCCTGATCTGTGACTCCAGGACAGCAATCATTCCTATAGGGCAATAAATGATCAAGACCGGACAAACTTCAAATCACAGTAAATTCAAACTCCAAAGTGTTCCTGACTCTTCTGAGGGAGGTTCTTTATTTTTATAGTATTACTCCCTTTGGATACCTGACTTAAAATTTTTACTACAGTAACTCCAGCATCACAGTACAGATTGAGTGACATTTTCATATCACGGTCCTGAATTTTTTAAGTTGTAACCCAATTCCTACTTGTCTAACCGTCATGCAGGCCTCAGCTCCAAACACCTGCCGCAGACCAGGCTTCCTTTTCAGTCACCACATTATCTGCAAATAATTGAACAGATAAATCTCCTGCTCTTTATTCCCTGATCAAGGTTACTTTAAAGTAATTCTGGAGAGTCAATGACATGTCTAGCAGCCCCGACAGATGCAAACAACAGATGGAATCAGGAGGCAGAGCTTTGCTTTAACTACAGAGGGGGAGGGGAGCACGGGCTACCTTCCCTTCGGCACAGGAAATAGAAAAGGGGCTGAGATTTGTCTTTGAAGAAGGAAATAAGCTTTCCAGCCCCACCTCTCCTCCTAACAGAAAGCTAATCTGTGAGAATACCGGTTCTCTCTGGCAGAAACATATTCTGGACGGAGTTAACATTAAAGGCAATGGTTCTGCCCACAGGAATAGCACGCTGCACTTCGCAAAGTTATTATTTCACATCCTCTGATTCTTATAAAATCCCTGTGTGCTAAACAGGCAGGTAAAATGACATTTTCCATTTTTCAGATGAGGCACAGAGGGTTAAAGTGGCTTGGCCAGGTCTCCTGCCCTGAAGTCCAATACTCTTTCCACAGTAACAATAACACCCAACACCTCCATAGCACATTTTTCTGGGATGACAATAGTAGCAAACTGATTACTAACAACACTTTCTATGTGCCAAGCACAGGTACCCCCCCCCCCCCGCTTTTCAAATTTGCTTAATGTCACTTCTCTTTTACGAAAGACCTGTACTGGTACCTGTTTTCAAGAACCCAAAGAAATCCCAAGGGCATTTTCGCTTTTTTGTAAAAAGGCAAAACGTGAAAATAGTGCTCAGCGTTTGTTTTGCAGCAAAGCTGGTGTAGAGGCAGCGTGCGCCCCCAGCGGCAGCAGGAGTGGTCCCAGCAAGCTCGTCCCCAGGAACCACACTCAGCATCTCAGCATCAAGCCTCCACAGCTTTGAATTGTGTCTGGGAGCATCTATGCTTCATCTCGATTTATCTTGTGCATCCATCAGAGAGAGGTATCCTAAGGTAACAGCTTCTCTTTAAGCCGTTTCAGCTTACAAAAGGTTTCCTAGAAATACTCTACTTTCAGATGGTGGACAGCAGGGAAGCCTGTGCTGTTCTTTTAGGTGCTTAACATGTTTAAACCCATTTGATCCTTACAACCACCCTATTTTAC